AGAAGCCCAGGAGATGATGACATTGAGGGGGGGCACTTCCCCCCCCCCCCCAGGGGGGGGAGACGAGTATGGCAAAGCGAGGGCGATGCACGACATGTGCGCCCAGGCGCCTGCTGGACTTGCAGGCGACGTGGCGCAGGAGCGCCGACGGCATCAGCGCCTGTGCTGGGATCAGCGCGTGCGAGAAGGGGGCCTCGCTGAGAAATGAAAAACATTGTCTCTGGGTCGCTCAGCTTTTTGTCCATGCGGCCTGTCCTCGCAATTCTGCAGTCGCGTCTGTTGACGTGGCCGTCATCACCTTGTCTCGTGTATGATTTTGCCATCCCGCTTGCCCCACCCTCCCCCATCCAATTCCCAAGCATTCCCAATCTCCTTCCCCCGAGCTGGATGGGCTAGATGAGAGCGTCGGCGTTGCTCCTTTAAGGGGCTGGTGGCGCCTGGTTCGTCCCTCTGCTTTGCCGTCGGAATAATCCAGCTGCCTGCGGCAACCCGCCGCCGTGCGTGGGTTGTGAGTCAACCGCCTTGCATATGTCGCCTGTGATCGCTTGGCGTGCTTCTCTGATGGTGATTGGGAGCCGCACCGACGCCTCTTTGGGACGCTGCCGTGTGTCATGTTAGGCATCTCGGGGGCACCTCTGGAATCCTCGGAGCAATCTTTGGACGCTGAGATTCGCACAATCATTTCGTGTCCGCATGGCGGTGGGGGGGTCCATGGGTGTTGTCTTAGACAGTTCATGTGCGATCCCAGTGTCCTCTTAGAGGGGCTTCTGGGTGCGTCTTGGGCCGTCTTGGGGTGGTCTTGCGGGCTTCTCGTGCCGCCATGAAGTTGCCATGGGCATAATGCAACCATGTCAACATCATGGTTCGCGCTGATTTGGATATCGTCATGCCCCCTTGGGGTGAGCTATCGGGAGCCTCGCTGGGCTTCGTGAGTGCCTTTTGACGCGTTGTTTACGTGTTTGGCGAGGGCGCTCTGATGCTGTAGCAACGGTGGTGCTTCTGGGGTCGTTTGGGGTAGTTCGTGGGTTGCCGTGTAGGTGTGTTTGTCCGTAGTAGGCCTCGTCTGAATTGCGTTGTGGCTTTGCGGTCGTCTTATACGTTGTCGTGGGGCACCCGCTGGGACCTCTTGAGCAGACCCTGAGCGTCTAAAGCTATAACAATCGCAACGTCTAGAACCCAATCGCACACGAATGAGATGTAGCGTAGGTTAGGTCAGTTCTGGGGGATCCCGTGGTAGCTTTTTGACGGCTGGGCTGCCTCTCAACGCTCTCAATTGCCGTCTCGGCGTTGGAAGCTCGAACCCGTTGTTCGTTATCAACCACTTGGGCTCCTCATAGGGCCATCTTGGGGCATTCTTGGGTCGCTTTGGGCGCTCACATGGCCTCTTGGGGCCTTCTCGGGGGCCATCGGCTGCCTTGAGTGCATCAGGGGCCGCCTTGGAGTGGTCTGGGTTTCGCAGGCGCAACCGCTGGGCGCTCCAACGACGGGTTGTGTTCGGAAAGCGCTGGCGTTGCGTAACATGGTAGGAGTCGAGGTATCGGTGGCACGGCCACAACTCGAAATACGCTAAATCTAGAAGGCGGCCTAGGGCGACTGCGCGCTGCGATAGGGTAAACACATTGGCAAGTGAAACCACGTCGGCCGCCTAGTGTAGACGAGCTGACCGCCAAACGCGCCCCTGCGTGCGACTGCGCGGCGGTAGACCTGACGCTTTGCGCAGCCCCGCCAGCACCTCCAGATATATGTTTGCACGGTCTCAGGCCAACGGTAAACGCACGCAGCAGCGCGTGCCTATCGGTCGCGTTGTTGCACATGTTTTCGGCGAGGGCGGGGTGGAGGGGAGGGGGTCGGTGGGGCCCTCGAAACCTTAGTGAAAGTTTGTTGGGGTTTGTCGGCGGTGCATGGCATTATGTTTGTTTTTGTTGTTGTTGTTGTTGGGGGACGCGTTGTGGCATCACCGTGGCATTCCTTGGGAGCAGCGGTCATCCATGGGGGGTCCTCCAATCGGGCTGCACCCGCAGTGCCAGTTAAATTTGCATCGCCTCTGTGCCAGGTGCTGTTCTTTAGGCGATCAGGAGCATCTTGGGGTCAACGGGGTTTCTTGCGGTGGTCCCCAGGGGGCTCAATTGCGCGTCCTAGCAGCAATCTGTAGCACAACTCGATCGGTTACTGGAAACTGCATCGCAGTAGGCGTGTGCATGGATGACGCGGGGGCTAGATAGTTATCGCGCTTGTGCCGCAGATGTGCAGTGGTGCGTGCCTACGCTGCGCCCAAACACCAGTGACATAGGAACGTTTCTCATCTGAGTTTTTGGCAGCCGCCCTAATGGTTCTGCCGTTCGACCCCCCCCCCCCCGAATGGCGCGCCCGCCCGCCTAACGCGCCCGACGCGCCCGTCTGGTTCGGCCCACTCAGCTGATTGTAATCCCGCCCGTCCGCTCTGACGGCCAGCCCGTCCGATCCGCTCGGGGGGGGGGGGCCTGCTTGCCAGACCACGACGGTGCGATCGTCAAACAATGCGCCGCCAAATGCCCAACGACCTTTTGCGCAGAATTGCCACTCAGCGGCGTCGAGGGGCGATTTTTCCCACTCGTCAATTGTGGTTCGCCGTTGTTGGCGACTACCTGTGGGAAAAGCGGGGGGGTACTTTGGAACCTACTTTTTTTCGCGTTGCTACTTTGCTGTTTTTTCGTAGGTACTTTGGAAGGTACTCTACAACCTATCCATGTAGCTACTTTGGCTGATTTCGCCTCTCTCGTGTCTCTAGCAGGAGTTGCCTTTCACAACGCTAGGGCAAGAGCCACGTTGCTTTCAAAACGACCAATGCTCCATCATTCGAGCTGCTGCGAGATTTTGAAGGAGGGTCCGTGACGTCAGGACCAGAGCCACATACTGAAAGGTAACCACCCTCCGTCCTTGAAACTTTGCACCATTTGGACGCGAATGCGCGCACTGCCACGGCGATAGCCACATTTTGAAAACCACCCCCTCCATCCTTATAACCACTGCAATATTTGCAAGACGAATGCATGCCGCGCTAAAGCGAGAGCCACATTTACCCTCGATCGTTGAACAGTTGTAAACGTCAAGCTTCAAGATCATAGGTGGTGAGAAACGAACGAACGAACGAACGAACCACCATAACGGGCAACTGTCCGGGCCAGCTAAGACCAGGTGAGTGAGGCCATGACCTCCTGTAGACATACAGACACGCGAAGCGCTCGGCACGCCCTACCCACACAACTGGGGGAGCGACAGGGAATGGTCATTTTTGTGTAAGGATAAGCTTTGGAGGAGGACGAGACGGAAGAGGAGGACGGAGGACCCAGGAGGAGGAGGAGGAGGAGGAGGAGGAGGAGGAGGAGGAGGAGGGAGGAGGGAGGACGGAGGAGGAGGAGGAGGACGAAGGAGGAAGATGGATGAGGACGGAGGCGAAGGCAGGAGGATTCAGAGGCGGGCCGACAGCGAGGGAGGAGGGAGGAGGACGGAGGACGGAGGAGGCGGCCGCTCCTGCACGCTCCGGCGAGGACCTCGCCATCGCTCGGACGTCCATTCCCCGTGTTATTTGTCGGTTTCGTGCGTGGCTTTTTCGCCAAATGACGAAGGATGCTCCTCGATGGTCCTCGCCGAAGGAAAAATGCACACGTCCGAGCGATGCCAAGGGACACACGAGGCTCGGAGGGCCAGCACAGACAACGGCGGCTCTCCTCCTCCTCCTCCTCCTCCTCCTCCTCCTCCTCCTCCTCCTCCTCCACCTCCTCCTCCTCCTCCGCCTCCTCCTCCTCCTCCGCCTCCTCCTCCTCCGCCTCCTCCTCCTCCTCCTCCTCCTCCTCCTCCTCCTCCTCCTCCCCACCCGGCTTCCGCGGCGGACCGGGCCGCGGCGACGACCCGCCCCGCGAGGCGCCCCCCACGACGAGGAGCAACGCCAGGGAGGGCCGCCGCCGTGCCTCGACTGGCCCTCCTCCGACTGCTCGGGGGCGAGGAACTTGGGCCCCAGCGGAAGGCAAGTACTCCAGATTTCGTAATACAGGGAGGGGGGTCTCATTTCGGGGGGGGGGTCTCTTCCAGGCTATCTTGGAGGGCCTGGGGCCCTGGGGGGTCTGGGGACGATGTTTTGGAGGATTCTCCCACGGGGGAGGGCTGAAATGGCTTGTCTTGGAGGGTCCAGACCCCCTCCCTTTTATTACGAAATCTGGAGTAGGGAACCGGGCTCTGCACACCGGCACTGTTTCCGGCCCCGCACTGGAACACGCACAGCAAAGCGGATCCTGGTGCATACGGGATCCTGGTGTATACAGCAGTGTATATACATATTTATATATATAGCTGTGTGTATATATAGCTGTATATATATAGCTGGAAACAAAAAATAGCTGTGTATATACATATATATACACACACACCATACCACCCCCGACGTCGTCCCCGACCCTCAAGAAGTCCTGGGATTGAAAAGCAGCCCGCCACTGGTAACATACCTGTTCCAATTTCCGACTGTGGGAGCCATTCCGTGTCGTGGAACATCCGCAAAAGTGAAAGAACTTCCGCTCGGGAGCGCGCCCCCGCGCGGCAGTGGCCCCGCCGCGCGGCGCGCGGCCGCCCGCACGCCGCCCGCGCTGGCGGAGCCCTGAGGGCTGCCCGCACCCAGGGTGGTTCCTCCTCCTCCTCCTCCTCCTCCTCCTCCTCCTCCTCCTCCTCCTCCTCCTCCTCCTCCTCCGCCTCTCCTCCTGCTCCTCCTCCTCCTCCTCCTCCTCCTCCTCCTCCTCCTCCTCATCCTCCTCCTCCTCTCCTCCTCCTCCTCGCCCTCGTCCTCCTTCGTCCTCCTCGCCCTCGTCCTCCTCGTCCGCCTCTCCTCCTCCTCCTCCTCCTCCTCCTCCTCCTCCTCCTCCTCCTCCTCCTCCTCCTCCTCCTCCTCCTCCTCGCCCCCACCCCTGGCCCCCCCTCGCCCTCCTCCGACCCTCGGGGCGCCAGCGGATCCAGCGGGAGGCTGGGCCCCCGGCGTGCCCTCTGGCGACACCTTGTTCCAGGGACGGGGCGCCGAGACCGCGCGCTTGCCTGGCCGCTGCCGCAAGCGCTGCTCCTGCTGGATCTGGCCTCGGGGGGTGAGAGGCCTCGTCTGTCCTCCCCTCCCTCCCTCGCCCCTCCCGTCCCCCCTCCTCCCCCCCGCTCCCCTCCCCCCCGGGCCCTCCCTTCCTCCTCCCTCCTCCTCCTCCTCCTCCTCCTCCTCCTCCTCCTCCTCCTCCTCCTCCTCCTCCTCCCTCCTCCTCCTCCTCCTCTCGCTCCTCCTCCTCCTCCTCCTCCCCTCCTCCTCCTCCTCCTCCTCCTCCTCCTCCTCTCCTCCTCCTCCTCCTCCTCCTCCTCCTCCGCCTCCTCCGCCTCCTCCGCCTCCGCCTCCGCCTCCACCTCCTCCTCCTCCTCCTCCTCCTCCTCCTCCTCCTCCTCCTCCTCCTCCTCCTCCTCCTCCTCCTCCTCCTCCTCTCTCCTCTCCTCCTCCTCCTCTCTCCCTCCTCCTCCTCCTCCTCCTCTCCTCCCCTCCTCCTCCTTCCTCCTCTTCCTCCTCCTCCTCCCTCTCCTCCTCCTCCCCTCCCCTCTCCTCCTCCGCCTCCTCCGCCTCCTCTGCTCCGCCTCCGCCTCCGCCTCCGCCTCCTCCTCCTCCCTCCTCCTCCTCCTCCTCCTCCTCCTCCTCCTCCTCCTCCTCCTCCTCCTCCTCCTCCTCCTCCTCCTCCTCCTCCTCCTCCTCCTCCTCCTCCCCCTCCGCTCCGCCTCCTCCTCCTCCTCCTCCTCCTCCTCCTCCTCCTCCTCCTCCTCCTCTTCCTCCTCCTCTTCCTCCTCCTCCTCCTCCTCCTCCTCCTCCTTCTCCTCCTCCTCCTCCTCCTCCCTCCTCCTCCTCCTCCTCCTCCGCCTCCTCCTCCCTCCTCCTCCTCCTCCTCCTCCTCCTCCTCCTCCTCCTCCTCCTCCTCCTCCATCCCTCCTGATCCCTTCATGCCCCTCCTCCCTCATGCACCCCCCCAATATCCTGTGCACATCACCGAGGCGGACAGACCCTGTCCACCACGAAGGAGGCCCCCCTCGTCCTCCGTCTACCCCTCCAATCTCTCCTCCTCCTCCTCCTCCTCCTCCTCCTCCTCCTCCTCCTCCTCCTCCTCCTCCGCCTCCTACACATCCACTCCATCCTCCCCCCTCCTCCGTCCTCCTCCTACTCCTCATCCATACCTCTTAATGGTGACCAAATCAACATCAGCGTCAGCAGCATCGTCGTCATCACCGTAGTCGTCATCATCGTCATCGTCGTCGTCGTCAAAATCAGCAACACAATCATCATCAACACGGTCGTCATCGTCATCCTACCATCTGGCTCCTTCTCCTCCACCTTGCCCATCCTCCGCCTCCTCCTCGCCTCCTCCTCCTCCTCCTCCTCCGCCTGATCATCATCATCATCATCATCACCATCATCATCATCATCAGCATCATCATCATCATCATCAGCATCATCATCATCATCATCAGCATCATCATCATCATCATCATCATCATCATCAGCAGCAGCAGCATCATCATCATCATCATCATCATCATCATCATCATCATCATCATCATCATCATCATCATCATCATCATCATCAGCATCATCATCAGCATCATCATCAGCAGCAGCATCAGCATCATCATCATCATCAGCATCCTCATCATCAGCAGCATCAGCATCATCATCATCATCATCATCATCAGCAGCAGCAGCATCAGCAGCAGCATCATCAGCATCAGCATCAGCTTCATCATCAGCATCCTCAGCATCATCACCACCACCACCAACATCCGCATCGTCATCAGCATCATCATCATCATCAGCAGCAGCAGCATCAGCAGCAGCATCATCAGCATCAGCATCAGCTTCATCATCAGCATCCTCACCAGCATCACCACCACCACCATCAGCATCGTCATCAGCATCATCATCACAGTCAGCATCATCAGCATTAGCATCATCATCAGCAGCAGCAGCATCGTCAGCATCATCGTCATCATCAGCAGCATCAGCATCATCATCGTCATCAGCAGCATCAGCATCATCATCAGCATCATCAACATCAACAGCAGCATCATCAGCAGCATCAGCATCAGCATCATAATCCTCAGCAGCAGCAGCATCAGCAGCATCATCAGCATCATCAACAGCCTCATAATCGTCAGAATCATCATCATCAGCATCATCATCAGCAGCAGCAAAAACAGCAGCTGCATCATCATCATCATCATCATCATCATCATCATCATCATCATCAGCATCATCAGCATCACCAGTATGATAATCAGCACCGAAATCATCACAGTCAGCATCATCAGCAGCATCGCCATCATCATCAGCAGCATCAGCATCAGCATCAGCATCATCGTCGACATCAGCATCGTCGTCGTCAGAATCAGCATCATCAGCATCATCAGCAGCAGCATCATCAGCAGCAGCAACAGCATCATCATCCTGATCGCCATACTCATCAGCCCCATCCTCCGTCCTTTGACTGTATTGTGTGGCTGTCCAAGAACGACCCTGGATGATCCTACACAGGCGGACGCCCAAACATATCCTCCGCAGTACGCCTTTCTCCTTCTCCTATGTTCTCATATGTATCCTCCTCATCTTCGACCTTCTCATCGCTCCCTCGTTCTTTTTCTTTCTCCCTCTCTCCCTCTGTCTCTCTATATTTCTCTCCTCTCTCGATCTCTTTCTCTCTCCCGCCCTCCCTCCCTCTCCTTCCCTCCCTCCCTCCTCCTCTGGCCTCCTCCGCTACACACTGTTTTGTGCTTCGTAAGAAGTGAGTCCTCGGATGATCCTAGCCGCAGGCCAAGATCGAATACTCCACATTAATCGTCCTTCCTCCTCATCTTACTCATCGTCCCAATCCTCCTCTTCATCACACCTTCCGCACTCACTCCCTTGTCAGCCTCCTTCCCGCACTCACTCACTCACTCCTCCTCCTCCTCCACCCCTCCCGCACTCACTCACTCCAGCACTCACTACTCACATCCCACCCTTCTTCCTTGTCCGCCTCTCTCCCGAACTCACTCCATCCTCCTCCCCCGCCCCAGCTGCTCTTTTTCCCTCCCCCAGCGCGCGCGGGGGCGAGCCCGGGAGGAGGCAGGAAGGAGGGAGAATGACATACAGTAGGCATTCTGGAATAAGGAACGCAAAACCAGAAACGAAGCCCATTTGGGGCGCCAACAGCGCCTGGGTGCACGAGGAGCGCTAGAGGAACCGCAACGAAAGGACCTTAGGAACAGCGAGCCCCTTCCGAACCCAAACCGTTCTTTAGATCAGCGTCTTGACAGTATGTCCAATTCCCACGCAGGTAAGTCTTGGCCGCCCATCATGCGACTGACATCTTGTTGACTGCACGCGGCTAGACGATTGGGGGCGTCCAAGAGGGAAACGTTCAAGAGGCGGGTTCGAAAGTCAGGGCCACGGGACGCGTTGAAAGAAGAAGGGGGGGCCGTGAGATCTGGGAGATATCATGGCCCCCGCCATAAGTGGGGAAACCAAAAGGTTCGGATACCACCACTCCCAGAGCCTCTCCAGGGGTGCGTTCTGACCAGGACTTCGAGGCGCATACAGCGATGGCGACGAGGGCCTCCCAGGAGGCCGAAAAAGGGGAAAACGGGCGAAGGGTAGCGGCATCGGTACACGTCGGTCGGAAGAAGTAGGTAGAAACATGAAGTAGGAATGCGAGAATAACAAAACACAACAAAAGCGTGTCGATTCTTGAAGTAGGAAGGCGCTTGAAGTAGATTGGGATCTGGGAATCCAAAAATCCATACTTTCAACGACCGGCGTGTACCCTTCCGTCCTCTGAATCACATCTCCCTCCCCGAGCCGTCACGCCCCTCTCGACCGCCCTTGGAACGAGCTCGGATGCGGCGCTGGGCCGCCGGCTGTGCTCCCGCCACCGCCGGGCCGGCTCCTCCAAGGGCTGCTGCGGCTGGGCCTCCTCCGGACGCGGGCCGCCCGCCTTGGCCGTTTTCAGGCCCTGCACGCCGAGCTGGTGCTTGGACTGCGGCAGGGCCGGCGGGCATTCCTGCCTCCTCCTCCTCTTCATCCTCCTCCTGCTACTCCTCCGCCTCAATCCTGTTTCCTCCTCCTACTCCTCCTCCCTCCTCCTCCCCCTCCTCCTCCTCCTCCTCCTCCTCCTCCTCCTCCTCCTCGTCTTCTTCTTATTATGATTATTATTCTTATTATTATTATTCTTATTCTTATTATTCTTATTATTATTATTCTTCGTATTATTCGTCTTGTTATTATTCTTAAGATTCTTGTTATTCTTATTATTCTTATTATTATTCTTATGAGTATTATTATTCTTCTCATTATTATTCTTCTTATTCTTATTCTGATTATTATTATTCTTCGTATTATTATTATTATTATTATTATTATATTTAATATTATTAGTATTATTAATAGGTTTATTATTGTTAGTGTTATTGATATTATTATTAGTAATATTAATAATATTATTATTTGTATTATTAATATTATTATTATTATTCATAATATTATTAGTATTATTATTATTATAATTATTTGTGTTATTGGTATCATCTTATTCGTAGTGTGCTTAGCATTCCTCTTCCTATCACTTCATACTCGTGCACATGTTAGTACGATTCGCCATGTGATGCGTATTCTTAGTATGATAGATGTCATGCTTCCCCCGCGGCTATTATTATATGATCAGTAGTATGATCATGATGATTAGTAGTAGTAGTAGTAGTAGTAGGAGGAGGAGGAGGAGGAGGAGGAGGAGGAAGAGAAGGAGGAGGAGGAGCATTGTAGTAGTCGTAGTAGTAGCAGTAGTAGTAGTAGTAGTAGTAGTAGTAGAACTAGTAGTAGTAGTAGTAGTAGTAGTAGTAGTAGTAGTGGTAGTAGTAGTAGTAGTAGTAGTAGTAGTAGTAGTAGTAGTATCGTAGTCGTAGTCGTAGTCGTAGTCGTAGTAGTAGTAGTAGTAGTAGTAGTAGTAGTAGTAGTAGTAGTAGTAGTAGGAGTAGTAGTATCGTAGTCGTAGTCGTAGTCGTAGTCGTAGTAGTAGTAGTAGTAGTAGTAGTAGTAGTAGTAGTAGTAGTAGTAGTAGTACTAGTACTAGTAGTAGTAGTAGTAGTAGTAGTAGTAGTAGTAGCACTTGTAGTAGTAGTAGCTGTTGTTGTAGAGGTACTACTCGTATTCTTCCTGTTCTCATTATGCTCATTAGAGAATTACCCTTCTAGGTAATATCACTGGTGTCCGTACGATATGTACTATATATTGGTATTATGGTTTGCATTGTTATTGGTAATCGTCTTAACCTTATGATCATGATTGTTTGATTGTTCGCCTCTTTGTTATATTTGCTAGTATTGCGCTTATGCTTGTTATTACGCTAAAAATTAGCATCCTCCTCTTCCTCTGTCCTCTCCCTCATCCTTTTTCTGTTTCTCCTCCTCCTCCTCATCATTATCATCCTCCTTTTCCTCCTTCATCCCTCTTCCTGTAAAACAGCTCGCCCTCTGTCACGCCACCAGGCGTGTCCGTAGCTCGGGCCGGGTCCTTCGCCTGAGATCTCGTGCACATCGAGCATCCTGTAGCTACGACAACTGCAGCGACGATCAGACTAGAAAGCCAATGGTCTCCTGAATGCGGCTCTCGCCGCAGTCCCGTGCGAATTCGTTTCAGAAACTCTGACAGTTTCAAGCGTGGAAGGTCGCAGATTATAAAATTTGGCTCTCGTATGAGTGTCTCGTTCATTCGTTGGTTCTTCAAGATGGGGACCGGCACGTATTCAGAACATGTGTTTCACCTTCGCGCCACGTACACCTGTTTGCTTCACCAACAAGCACACACAAAAAGAGGAATCAGAATGCCCGTCCCGAGCTGACATCAGGGGGGAACTCGGCACGAATGAGCCTAGCTACAAACTTTGGCAACTCCACCGGGACCTCCCGGGAGCGCCAGCCAGCCCCGCACGGCACCTGCCAGGGGGTGGCGAGACTGGAGCCGGAGACTTCTCCGACGCCGCCATCGGCCCGATCACTGCCGCACACACCCCAACGCCGCACCTCCGAGGCCTCTCCTTGGGCAGGAGGCCCCTCCTCGTCCTCGTCCTCCTCCTCCTCCGCCTCTTCGTCCTCCTCCTCCTCCTCCTCCGCCTCCCTCCTCCCTCCTCCCTCCCTCCCTCCCTCCCTCCCTCCCTCCCTCCTCCTCCCCTCCTCCTCCTCTTCTCCTCCCTCCTCCTCCTCCTCCTCCTCCTCCTCCTCCTCCTCCTCCTCCTCCTCCTCCTCCTCCTCCTCCTCCTCCTCCTCCTCCTCCTCCTCCCTCCTCCTCCTCCTCCTCCTCCTCCTCCTCCTCCTCCTCTCCTCCTCCTCCTCCCTCCTCCTCCTCCTCCTCCTCCTCCTCCTCCTCCTCCTCCTCCTCCTCCTCCTCCTCCTCCTCCTCCTCCTCCTCCTCCTCCTCCTCCTCCTCCTCCTCCTCCTCCTCCTCCTCCTCCTCCTCCTCCTCCTCCTCCTCCTCCTCCTCCTCCTCCTCCTCCTCCTCCTCCTCCTCCTTCCTCCCTTCTCCTCCCCCCCCTGCCACTGGCTCCCCCACCGCGGCGCGCGGGCGCTGCCGGCAAAATGCCCCCCCCCGAAAGAGAGCCGACGGGCGCACCGCCGTGCGGTTTGGCAGCGTCGCCCCGCTCGGCCCTCCACGCCCTCCCTTGGAGGCCTGGAAATGAGCACCAACACCAATGCAGGGGGCTGCCTTCACAGGGGGGAGATGATCCTAGACTTCGGTGTTGGTGGTAATGTTTCGGTCACCTTGGAAGCCAGAATAGTACCACCGTCACCGAGATCGGGATCTTCTTCCCTCGGTGGGGGGAACGCCGCCTATATTGAGGTGGGTGTCAACCTCTAGGCCTGCGACTCCCTGTCAAATCCCCCTCAGCGATCGACCGGCGGCGGCGGCCAGCCGGCCCGGCCCGGCCCAGCCTGCAGCAGCAGCACCGGGCTCTCGCAGTGCTCGTCGCCCTCGCAGGGCGCGGCGCCCTCGGGCGCGGCGGCCCCCGCCAGGCCCAGCGCGGGCACCCACAGTCCGACGAGGCCCCCCGGCCAGGAGGGCCGGAGCCGGGCGCCTCGGAGACGGCCGGCCTTCGGCGGCCGCCGGCAGGGCCTGCTGCCAGGCTCCTGCAGCGTGTCCTGGCTGCCCGCTGCAGCTTTCCAGCACTTTTACCAGCCTGGAGCATAGCCCTATCCCTCTGCACGGCGTGTCAATCTCAGGGATAGGGATAAGCTCGAGGCTGGTGAAGCACGACGGGCTGGCTGGGGCCGCGTGCCCCGAGGTCCCACGTCCCCAAAAAACAAAATCGAGACGCCGCTAAAAATGAAGCCTGGAGCCCCAGACCCTCTCTTTCTGAAACATTTTTCGAGCCAGATCGATTATGTGAGGGCCGGGGGGCCCGAAATTGTGAGAAAACGCCCGGCCCGAAAAAAACGAGCCGCCAGGATCTCAAGGTTCGGCTTCCCGGGGGGGGCCCTCACACCCGGCCCCGCGAGCCTCCAGAAACGGAGTGGTGCTGGCAAGCCGGCAGAGTGATCCAGCCTCTCCGGGGGGCCCAGTGCTCCGGGGCACTGCCAGGGGGCCCCACGCTGGCGCCCAGCAGTCCGCGGGGGGGGTTCTGGGTGCTGGGCAGCTGCCAGAGCTCATCCTTCTGCCCCTTTTGCTGCTGCTCCTCCTCTTGCTCCTCTCCCTCACCCTCCTCGTCCGCACTCCCACCCCCCTCCTCTTCCTCATCCTCCTCCACCGCCTCCTTGTTGAAGTCATCGCGGGTTCTGGGCAGCTGTTCTTGTAGATCGAACTCGATCTCAAAATGAAAGCTCTTACACGGGGCCCGGAAGAACAGAACCTGCGCAACCCCTGGCATCGTCATCAATATTCGAGTCGACCTGAGATAATTGCGAGCTCTTTGAAATCTCATTCGACTGTAAGTTCGGTGGCAACTCATGGGAGCCTCCCATACCATCTTGTCGGCTCATGCGAATCGACGCTCATCGACGCGAAATCGACGCTCATCGACGCCAAATCAGCGCTCGTTGACGCCAATCGACGCTAAATCGGCGCTGTCCCATCGGCTCCCAGCAGCTAATCGACGCCAGTCGACGCCAAAGACGGAATTGAGCGGGTGCAATGGGCCCCCATGATTGGAGGCCTGGAAATTGGCACCAACACCAACACAGGGGGGCTGCCTCCACACGGGGGAAGATGATCCCAGATTTCGGTGCTGGTGGTAATTTTTCGGTCACCTTGGAAGCCAGAATATCGCCACCATCACCGAGATTGGGATCGACTTCCCTCGGAGGAGGCACACCGCCGATCTTGGTGCTGGTGTCAACCTCTGGGCCTGCGACCATGAGCCCCCATGACTTGCGACCGAGCTCGCGAGGCCGACTTCGGCGCCACACGACGCGCAGCTCTGCCGGGCCGTGCCCCGACTTCCCGGAAGCCTCTCGTCGCCACGCGCGGGCCCGCCCCTGGCATCGGGCCAGGGCGCATCCCTGCACGGGTCCAGGGGGGCGACTGTGGCACGAACAGCAAGCGCCGAATCGGGTAATCGGATCGGATCGGGGGAAGCATGTGTGTATATATATATATATATATATATATATATACAGAAAGGAACCCTGTGCGGGCTGGTGTTCGGAGATCCGTGGGGCCGTCCGCGATGCCTTCGGACTTGAATCCAGCAAGACGTTATCAGAGAACCCTCGGTGGGATGAGGCGGGAGAGGTCTTCGGCAAAGCGCGCGGGAAACAATAAGAAACTCATAGCACGCAAACAGATCCCCAGAGCTCGTGCATAGAATTCTGTAAGCCTGAATACGAAAACTAAAACAACACAAGGAAAACAAAAAAAACAAAAAAACAATCCCTGGGGAGATCCTGAGGGAAATCTCCACAGAAATTTGCTTGGTTTTGTTTGTTATGGTTTTCCTTAGGTTTTTTTGGTTCTGAGATCAAAAAATCAAAACCAAAAAAAATGTGAAAACACATGTTTTCGGAAGGAAAAAATGCGTTTTTGGCTGTCGGAAGAAAAACAAAAAAATGTGTTTTTCTTGTTTCTGAAATGAAAAACCACAAAAAACAAAGGAAAACCAAAAAAACAAAAAAAAAACAATTCCTGCAGAAGTCTTTGGGGGAAAGACTTCTCCAGGGATTGGTTTTTTGGTTGTTTGGTTTTCCTGTGTTTTTTTGGTTCTGAGGTGAACCCCCCCCCCCCCCAAAAAAAACACCATGTTTTTTGTGGTTTTGAAATGGGAAGCAAAAAACATTGTGTTTTTTTGTTGTTTGAAATGACAAACCAAAAAACCGACGGAAAAAAACACACAAAAAAAAACAAAAAAAAACGAACTATGTCCAGGACATCCCCAGGGAATGGTTGTTTGGTTTGTTGGTTTTCCTTGGGTTTTTTGTTTTTTTAAGTTCCCAAAAGAAATCATATTGATGCAGAGCTGAAGTTAGTTATTTCAGTTGGCTCATTGCGTCAGGTCCCAGAGAGCATTTACTATCCCCTCCCCCTCCCCTCCCAATATGTTGAGAAGGTGCGGAATCACAAATTTGTTTTGTCTGAGTTGTATAGCAAAACAGGCAAGTTACAAAAATGTGCAGTTACAAAAGCAATGGAAAACAGCACGTGGTGCATCTCTTCAATGATGAATTTGTTTCAGATTCACAATCCTCGTGTTCAGTGGGACCCAGTACCTACAGCATTGCGCGAATATGTAGAAGGACTCAATTTAGAGAAAGGTGTATACCCAGGAGGATTAACAATTATGCTTTGTATGATAGCCAGCGGACGTTCTTCATCTCTGTCAAAATTATTACAAGAACCAACAATCGAACAATGTTTTGACAATGATTGGAGCAATCTTACAGTCGACAGAATGCGATACGTCATCTTGACTGCAGAGAATGAAAGCAAAGGATTGAAAATTGCAGAAGGTTCAACATCTGAAGTGAAACGTAGTGCTCTGCTTTGCAATGTCAATTACGGGTATCACACTGACTGGGTACGAGACTTCATGCGGGACTTCGATGCAACGGAGAAGATATTTGAATCGTTTGCAGAATCATTCAAAAAACTTTCAAAGGTGACAGGCTTTGGAGCATCCAGGGCAGTACATATTCTTCTTTGGATATTTATTGCATATGATGCCGAGATTGACGTGCCGGACGAAATGCTATACGATTTAGCAGGGCCAAATGTCAGACTGATGGAAAAGATGTGTCAATATGCGGGGTTCACTTATAAACAGCTATATAAAAAAGGTAAAGGAAGAGCTGCCGCATATGGAACCAATCGAATATGACGTCTGGACGTGCAAAGTCGTAAATCTTATTTTGCTCTTGAATATGATGAAACAGCCAAGCTTGTGTTATCGTTCATTGAAAAAAGGAGAATTGGTTAAGCCAGAATGGCGGCTAACCAAAAAGCAGAGGATTGAGTAGATTACGATTGCATCATATATGATTTTGTTGTCACGCAATTTGACTTGTGCACTTGAGACTTTGCTGATGCATTGATAAAGCGCTGTGTAGAAAAGAGATTGCACTTATGTGACAGATCTTATATGCAGACAGCTGATGCTATTCCGCCAGCCCTCAGATTCTTAGAATTTGCGATATATAGCACTTCCTAATGGAACTGGCAAACAAGAAAAATTGTCAAAACATATTATTTGTTAGTCGACCTTCTGTTTTTAATGAAAGTATGTGTTTTTCTGTTTCAAACGTTAGAATTATGGTAAAAACGCGTTTCGTTATCGGTTCCCTAAGTGCGAATTATGTAGCACTTCCTAATGAAAATGGCAAACAAGAAGATCGTTAAAAAACTAGTATGTTTATCTTGATATTCTTTTTTAATGGAAATATGTGTTTTTCTGTTTCAAACGTAAGAAAGTATGAAGATGATGCGTTTCCTTATCGTTTCTCTAAGTATGAATTATTTAGTATTTCCTAATGGAAATGATAAACAAGGAAATATGTGGAAAAAAATACTTGTTGCGTTTTGTTCTTCTGTTTTTAATGAAAATAATTGGTTTTCTGTTTGGAACCGCAGAATAATGGTAAAAACGCAATACTTTTCAATTGTTGTTTAATGCGTTCTGCGATGTTCTTTTAAAATGCTTGCTTGGGTGTGTTTGTTTTACGTTGTTGTTGTTTTGTTCTGCCGTGCGCTTTGCAAAAAAATAGCAAAACACAGTGTGTTTTGATAGGTTTCTATACAATGTGATAGTTTCGCCTCGGTGAAACGTTCAGTTTTGATAATGTGCGGGCTGCGAAAACCAGCCCGCACAGCGTTCCCCTCTCTCTCTATATATATATATATATGCATATAGATCTAGATCAATAGAAAAGCCGACATACATACAGACACATACAAGAAAAGAGAAAACGAACAACAACAACAAAAAACGAATCGGGCCGAATCGGCACGGACCTGGAATCGAATCGAATCGGTGGAGCCAGGACGCACAACAGCACCAAGCACACGTGGGAGCCGCATCGGATCGCCCGAAGATCGGAACCGACTCGCATAGGGCGGGCCAGAGCCGATGTCGAACCGGACCGATCGAATCGAGAGGGCCCAGGTGCCGTGGAAGCACGAGCGAGGAAGAGGAGACGAGAGGGAGGGCGCAGGCGGTGCAGAACCGGGAGGACATGGACGAGGGCGGGGGAGCGCAAGAGAGCGACGACGACGAAAGCGACGACGACGACGAGAACGACGTAAGCGGGGACGAAAGCGACGAGGAAAGCGACGAGGGCGGCGGGCTGCGCGCAGCGCCGAGCACAGCAGGCCGCGCAGGTACATCGCGCCGACAGCGGGGGGGGGCTGGGCAGCCGGGCGCCCGGCCGCGCGGAGAGGGTCGCGAGCCTGCGCCCGAGAGCCGGAGCGCCGTCGGGCCGGGCCTCCGCGGCGCACCGCCGCTGCCGCTCCTGCGCGGAACGGTGCGGCGCACCTCCCGCGGTGGGCCCCGCAGGTGCGTCCAGGTTCCCTCCGCGTCCCCCTCGCCGGTGAGGCACTGCCTCCACGGCCT